TTTGAAAACTCAGGTATAAGGAGGAAGGAGTCTGAAGGTCCTTTTTTGGGAAGTTCACAAGAAATGACTGCAGTTGGGACACGGTGTTGAGCTGTAAGAGTGTGACCACTTTCCCCTCTCTCCTCCTCCCCTTTTATTTAAAAGCAAACAAACAGAAAACCTCTTGCCTTCAGGTTTGGTTTTTTTTTGGTTAAGGTGGTCTTCCCTACTTCTATTTCCATTCCCAATTGCCTTTTTTTTTTTTTGGAACTAGCACTCAGTATCTGTCATTGATAGGCTGGATTTAAAAAAAATTTTTTTTTGCCTCTTTACCTTCCTTCTTTTATTTTCTGGAATCATTTCCTTTCCTGCCCATCTAAATCCGTATTGTTTTTACTTTTCTTCATTGGTTGTGTTGTCTCTCTCTCTTCTCTGTTCTGTGCTCCTTAGTTTTACTCTGTATTTCAGTTCCTCATTTTCCTTCCTTTACCAGCATTACAAAGTGCTGTCATAGTATCAGGTTGGGACTGCGAGGAAAATTGCCAAAATTTCCACCGAAGGAAATATTGTCTCTACAACACGGGCAGCACCTGCTTCCTTCCCTCAACTACTGCTGTCAAAATGTTTCAGATTCACAAGACAGCTCCTCAATGAGACTGGAAGAAGGAGAGATTCCCCTGGATTTTTAGTGCAGTCACTCACGTTATCCACTTCTGAGGCCAGCCCCAATCCTTAAAATACAAACTTTTCATAGCAAAAAGGTGTTCTTATTATCAAGAACAACGTGCTAGTGGTGTGTCGGGTACTTTTGCCACAGCACTGAATCACCAAAAATCGGATGGATGTTAGCGTACTGTTTTTCAGAGTTCAAAATAACCGATTACTGATGAGCTAATGTGTGTATCTTGCAACTGGCAGCCATTTCTAATCCCATATTACTGGTTTCCTTGGTACCTTGCTAGCAGCTGTAGATAATTTTTTTTTGTTGTAAACATAAACTATCATCTAAATCAGGACATTATATATATATATTTAATTATTTCAGAAGCAAAGTGCTTTAAACCTTATGATTTTTACTTCTGCCCTGTAGAAACGGCACTAGATCTAAATGCTCAAATTTTTGCTTTTTGATACATCCTGCAGCATTAGCTTTGTAGGCAACTCGTCATTTAAACCTACTGTACTACGTGAAAGGCTGCCGTACTGTAGGTGTAAATTTGAACGTTAGCCATCACTTAAACATGCATTTTCATGCAGCTAGGAGATATGGGCTCATTCAACTGCTTCTCAGATTCATCCTGATTTTTGTGATTTTATCTTATTAAAAAGGCTTTCAAAACAGTTCATGCTGTGATATGTATGACTAGAGGAATGACCCAGCCAACGAAGAAAGCCCACAAGCTGTTATTTAAGTTTGACGTGGAGCAGATTGAGTGCTTCTGTACCATCCCCTGGCTTGCAAATGTTTTGAGATGATCTTGATATTCCAGTCCTTAGAGAGTCGGCAGAGAGAGTTGTTTCCACTAATGGGCGCGAGATGGCTTCAGTAGTCTCTGTTCCTGCCTCTGTCTCCAACTCTTCATCAGTTATAAATAATTTTGACTCCCTCCATTTGGAGTATACGTCTTGGCTACCTCTGGAACCGCTGGAGTCACTGCCAGCAATCTGTACATTCAGTTCTTCTGTTGATTGTATAAGGTTTTGTACAGATAAAGATTTTCCTAAATCCATTTGCACCACAGGTTTAACTGAGAGCAAAGGTTCCCCTGCTGTATCCAGACTTTTTCTCCATGAGAGATCCTTTGTCGCACTGGACTGTGCAACTTGTCCATTATCCTTTGATGCAACAAGGCAAGCGGTGACATCGGAAATATTTTCCTGTGTGGTCACAGGAATAATATGGACGGGCTCAGGCCTATTGATATGCTTCATTAATGAGAAAGGTGGTATTTGTAATGTTGTTGGAGTTGCTGGCTTAGTTGCCTGGTTTATTTGGTTTGATGTGTTATTAACTGTTGCGGGTCCATCGTTTGGCACTTGCGTTGCTTGACTATGCATAGCTGGACTAAAAGCATAGTAAGCCTGAGTGCTAAATTCATTTGGTGTCAGTATAAGCTGTAGGCCACGAGGCAGATTGGCACTAGCTGATCTGGATACGCATCCACTAATTTGTGCAGAATTCGACAAATCTTTGCTGTCTGATGGGCTCTGGTAATCAGAAGTCTGCTCACACTCAAAAGCTGGCGTTTGGAGTGAAGCCAAAGTGAGCGCCGATGCAGATCCTTTTCGCAAAACTTGTTGATAAATATCTAATAGACAGTCCAGTTTTGACTCAATGGATTGTACCTACAGGAGGAGAGGAAAAGGTTAACGTTAATGCCAAATATTAATTTAAAATATTTGGAACCCGAACAAAGGGAAAATGTGAGTGCCAAAGAGAAAAATGGGAGGAGCTTCGTATACGCTATTGACCCTTGAAAAATAATGTCAAAAGACACGTACATTTTTCATAAGCAAGCTGATAAAAGGGGAAAAAAATTAGTAACTTTGATTTTCCCTTCTTTACTTTTCTGTACATGGAAGACAGTCAATACAATTCATGTCAATTTTATTTCCACATGTAAATGAAGCAGAAAAAAAATTTCACCTGTTCAGCCTTTGAAACTGGCAATAAAATGCACAAAAGGCATGAGCAATACAGCAAGACAAAGCAACAATGACAGATAATCACTTTACCTGCTTCTCCACCTTGACTACACGCCCTAACATACTGAGGTCATCAGTTGTCTCATTCTCTGCGGGATTCTTTTCTCTGCTTCTTTTATCTGCTGTTATTTGTCCTTTTCCAAGAATTTGGTCAACGCTATAAGAGAAATCAAAAGCTGCTGTGGTTTCTGAAAATGGTGATGATATGGAAGTGTTTGCTGTATCCGCACATTAAAAATTAAAATCACAGTACTTCAGAAAAGCCCCCAAGAAAGAAGTTAACCTAATGTTATTAAAAAAATAAATTAAAAAAAAATGAATGCTTTTTTAGCATGTGGAGATTAGCTCAGAGGCAGCTTTTCTTTTCTGTTGGCACTAACTGGGGGCCAGAACATAGGCATCATCCTGGAGAGCCATGACTAGACTTGCTGAGAGGGCAAGAGAGGAGGTGGCCTTCCAGCAGCCTGATGTGGAGGAACAGAAGTACCAGTGCCTCCCTCAGCCCTCTCATCTGAACAGCAGCATCAAATCTTGGGAAAGTTGTCAGTTTGTCAGTTTGAAACAAGAATCTCAGCCCCGATGCTGGTAATGATACAAGTGTGCAATGTTGTGTTTGTTTTTTTGTTTTTTTTTTTTTAAATAATTATTACTACAGAGAATCTAGAACATAAAACCTACATAAATACTACATTAATGGTAGTTCTCAATTTCTTTTATGTGAAAATAGAAAGTCTGGGATGGGAGAAAGGCAGTCCTCAATGTCGACCTCATCCTTTTGGCAACCTCCTGACTGAATTCCTTGTTTATCAATGAACTTTACAGATAAAGGATTGCCTTTTCTATTGTTCAGACTTTCATCTTCTGGGGACAATTTAAATACATGGTTTTTTGTTTGTTTTTACCCACAATGTAATTTCTTGCTCAGCTGTGTTTACAGAAAGAGAGGCTGGGCTGAAGCATAGGTAGCAATTTGTACCCGAATATAAGACAGGAATGTTATGAATATTCCTTATGCAGTGAATGACGTAACATGATGCTTACGCAGAGCAGAAATTTTTCTTTCCTTACCGTGACTGAAGACTCTTAATCCTGCATAACATGTCTAGATGACCTGCTGAATACTGTTCAATGACATCTTTGACATCATATGGACGAAGCGTTTCCTTAAACTTTCTCTTTGCAACATGAAATTTCATAATTCTACGGGGAAAAAGAATTTCACAGATTAATCTTCAACAGTTGTGAAACAACACCATATATTCCACTGACAAAATTTGACAGCTAATTTTAAAATGGAAGATATTTTCAATACAGCTTGTGCAAGGGAACTTTTCCTTTTACAAAATAAGTACAAATGTGTAAGTACAAATGGGTAAGTACAAATGTATTGTAGGTATCCCTTTGAATTATTATGTAAGAGAGATCAGGTAACGCTGAGTGCACAACATGTTTAGTTTATCTGTATACACCTATTTGGCTTTTTTATGTGAGGTGCCTGATATCAAAAGGTACTCAAGTATATGCTTACCTTAAACCTGAGATTAGTCCCACTGACTCGAGTGAGATATCCTGTAAATGATGTTTGTGCTTAAAGCTACTCTGTCCTTGTTAGAGGAAGTATTTCTCTAACAAATCGATTGCACAAATATAAATAAAAGTATTCTTTTTCTGGTGCTCATTTTAAGTTCTTTGCTTTTCATTTTGTAAAAAATTTAAATTTATGCACCCAATTTTTCATCAATTTTCATTTTTAATTAACATTCAGGTCTAAGCATTTGCTTTTAATTTATTTTGCTGACTTAAGATGAAACTTTGCAGGCTAAAGAGAAGCCTTCATGTTTGTTCCCTATTGAAATCTATGGGAATTATTGTTTAATTAGCATTGGTGATTTTTTCCTTGAATTTTACTGCAGAGTAGTAAGTTTCAGATAACAATAAATATCCAAAATTGATGAATGGCATGTGTTTTTTATGTGACACTTGCAAAAGTTTCTGTGATGCTTATGCGAATATGTGATGTCCACCGAGTAATTCTTCTTAGAATGAAAAGCTTGATATTTAATTGCAAATTTTAAATAATAGAAATGATAAATTTGGAAAGTAAATGACAGTGAGCTGATTTTCCAGGTCAACTGGTAACACTTGCAGTTCTCCTTGGTTTACATGAGAACTGGGGAAGAGAACCATGCGAGAAGTGGGAGAGAAGCTGAGGGATCAGGTGTGTTGGCTATTGTGGTCTGTGTTACAGAGCTTATGAATCCCCATTAGGGCCAAACTGCTGATATTTGGTATCTATTGCAATTAAAAAAGCAGAGATAGTAAATTGATATCCTATTCTAAATGTCAGTATTTCATGCTAATATAGTCCCTCTGTGTTTACTATGAAATGTATTTAGCAGCTGTAAGACAATGAGTGATAATAAAAACCAAAACATGGCTCTCGCTGTGTGACAAAAATAGATTCCAGTGTTTTAGTGGAATTCAGGAAAACCATACTTTGTATAGTTAGGACAGACATTATGATAATAGGTATGTAGAGCCAGATTAATAGTATATAGGGATCCTCTACTGATTTCTGTATCATACATAAACATTCTCCCAAATAATATCAGTCTTTTCCCACAATGCTTAGGTTGTTGATATTTCCCATTCTGGTAACTTCCAGTTAAAAATGAGATTGCTTGTCACTGGTATAGAGCTTGAAGTATGATTCTGATTATAGAAATTAAAAATGGAAAAGGCCTGTTAGGAGTCGTCCATCAGCTTGACAGTTCAGGACTGATCTCTATGCAGTTTTAAATATGTCAGATGATGCATTTTCCTCTTTTCCATTGTCAGCCAGTTCTACAAACTAATGGCTTTTGGCGTCTTTCGTAATTTGAAGGCCTCTGAAGCTGGGATGCAGATTTTTTTTTCTTTTAGCTATCAAATGATGCCAAGATGTTCTGTTTATAATAGTCTGGCAGTGTAGACAGTCTCCTGGAATCTAGTTCTTTATTCTGCTTAAAAAATATAATTTCTGTAGCTGACATATACAAGAAAGTATAATTCTTTTGTTATTTTTCTCGCTGTTTTGGTAGTCACAATTTTTTACTTCATGCTCTTGATAAAGTAAAAATATGAAACTCTATTAGAAAAGCTGAGACAGAGGATTAATAGCATAATTGAAGACAACTGAATTTACCAACCGGGTGATTTTACAAGAGAAGAGACAGAAGGCTAATTTTTATTAACAGCCATAGAAGCTTCTTAATCAGTGTGCACAAAAACTGCTTTGCAGCTTTATAACAGTTTTTTTTTTTGGTTATCAAGACAGTGTGTTCATAATGTTCCGAAGTCAAACACAGGACTGAAAGCATCACGGCTGTATCAGTAAGGTGTAACTAACTGTCTTATTTCTGGTTTAGTTATTAGCTCATGTGTGATGCCATCTTAATAAATTTCAACAGGGTTTGGAACAGACCCACATTGCTTACTTCTTTTTGCTTCAAATATGCACAATTTTACATAAACTGGGCAAAAACCTGAAGGGTTATAAAAGACTGGGACTTTAAAAACCTGTAAATTAATTAAGAAAACCTGAATTCTTTCAGTGATAGAGCCTAGCAACTGCTATGCAGTTACTAAATTTGATTGATTCTCCATATCTACTGTCAATTTTAAGAACTCTATTCTCTTTCTATATCTTGAAATAACTATGTTATTGAACTTGATAGGCTTGAACACCCGTCCTGAAAGATTATCACAGCTATATGGAGCATATTCAAAAATAATGAACAAAAAAGCTTTTGAGCTTCCTTCATTTGTGCTTCTAGAATGAAAAGTTGCCTATTCTGGGGTGTTCCTGTGTGATAGCAATGAAAGGTTCAGTTTACAGCCACAGGTGGATAACCTACCTGTACAAAAAAAACGGAAAATCAGCACAAAGGGTTTTATGCCCCAAATATTTGAAGCACCAGCCTGTTAACACAAACAGGAGGAACAGAGCAAAGAAAGTACAACTCGGTCTGCCTTTTCTAGTTATATCACAAGGGGGCAAACAAGACCCATCATAAACTAAACGGAGTCGCCACTGGCAATACTGAACTGCTAGCACTGACCAAACAGCAGTAACTGAAAGTAAGAATTAACCCAAAAGAACAAAGTGTGTAGTCTCCATGATTTTTTAAAACCTTATTTGTAATTTTCCATCGTTGTATGCCGTGTGGTGAGGTGGTATTTTATAACTCAAATCTAATGTGTAGGTCTATCTAGGTTTATGGTTGTAAACCTAAGTCACTAGTGTGACAATTTTCTGGTGAGAATTAGCCATAAAAAGCAGCCTATTTCAATGATACATCCAGAGGAGAGAAAAAAAGTCTTTTGTGTTGAATTAGACCAATATATCAAAGTGCTTTGTCTACAGCTAATGTCAAAACCACAGGTCTCACTACTCTTTACATGCCTTGACAATGTGTAGAAAGTTACAGGTCCAATACCAACTTTTGTCTTACTGACCCCCAGCAGCCAAAAGCAGCATCCACTTCATTTATTTGTTGTCAAATGCAGGATCAGCACTGATCTAGAATTACAGTGTTTTCTGAACATGCAGTTTGTGTCTCTTTCCTGGCATTTGTTGCGATTTATTTTCCATTCACGTTGCCCCTTGCAGTATTAAAAGCTATTGTGTTTGTCATTAGTGCACTTTACTGAGACTAGCACTGAGTCACAACATTGCTAATCCTCTGTGCAGCCCCATCGTACTCATGTTATTTTTTCAAACCTGTATCTTGTCAGTCTTGTCACTATCTCAGGAAGAAGTGGAGCTTCATTCTACTGGGATTCAAGAAAACTCACACATGGTTCCTGCCTTAAATATGAAAATCCAGGTAGGTTGTTTTGCCCATAGCTAGATGAGGTGCCCACAGGTTATTTGCTCACTTACTACATCAGGAAGACAGGTGCACACAAATCTAGTTGTGCTGGTTCCGCTGCCTCTCTACCCTTAGCTTGCCAAATAACCCTTCTTCCCGGTAAACTGCAATGTGCGGGAAAAATGGGGATCCAATATAGAGAGGTCAACAGACAAAAGTGTCTGAGAGGTAGTTCCAACTGTGTGGGGTAAGCGGGTTGATATTGCCTCCTCTCTTGGGTTTTGATCCAGACTAACCCATCCCTTAGGAGCCAGAGACATTGTTTTCTCCCAAGCACAGTGCTGTCACAGCCAAAGACACATTTGAGAGCCTTGCCTAGACTCTGAAGACCACCCGGGTAGAAAATATACAATGTGATTTCAAAGAAATAGAGGATTCTGAAACACCACCATTGAACAAATTCATGATGGCTGCTAAAAATCCATTTTATAGGTGTAGCAGAAACATTGCAAAGACTGAATATAAATGGTAAATTACATTTTCCTTCTTTGGCTATTAAATATGTAGGACTATTCAACTATAAAGCTTATCAGTGCAAGAATTCTCAAATTTCATTACTTTTGGCTACATTTATTATTATTATTTCTTCCTAACAACAAATGAAAATATATCTATGCAATCACTAGAGTTAAAGAGAGAAAAGACCTCTTAAGTCAGCAAGTTCATCTTCCTGCCATTGCAGTTATTTCCTTTTGCATATTTATTTATGCTTCTCAAATCTAATTTTGTACTCCATAAATAGTAAAATAATTCTATCATTTCCATTGTGGAGCATATTACAGAATTTAGTGCCTCTCGCTATGAAAAATGATCAGAGATATCGCAATATATGGAAACAAGGTATCCTCATCTTCTGTTTAGTCTCTTTTATACACATTCATCATTGTGAACTAACAGAGAGAGATGGAAAATGGAACATTTTTTGTCAGTCTCCAGCAACTCTGAAGGATATGTATGGCTTTTTGTTCACAACAAGACTAGGGCTGGTTGAGTAGTGCTACAAAATGTACTGGCACAAAGGCTCAGTGTAGCACTGGTAAGAACTGCTTTGTGCCCAACTCTGATCCTAGCCGGAGGCTCCAAAGGAGCAGGACTGATAGTGGCTTGGCCCAAGGCACGCTGTGGAGCACACCACATTTCACCACGCTACCCGTCTGTTCTCTCCTCACCCAATGTTGTGCAAATGCATCAAGCAGC